TTGGCGTGGCGATGACCTTGGCTCTCCCAGCTCCCCAAGTCTTTTTTGCCGACTATTCAAGTTGTCATTAATTTCCTTTATGATCTTGCCCAACTTTTCCCGAGTGTGATCTAGAAGGATGCCGGCAAGCCTTTTGCGGAGTGCACCAGCGCCCCGGTTACCGGCAGGAATGGCGAGCCAGATACCTGAGCCGAAAAACTCTCGCTCCTTGTCGTCACGCTCCTCAGGCGATAGTGAGCCCTCGTAGTCACTTCGATTACGCAGAATATGCCATCCCAAGGTGAGATGATGAGACTGATCCTGATTCCTGGCCAATTTCACCACATTGCCCTCATCTTGAGACCCTTGAGTGAGTAGGTCGGGCTTCGTGATAACGCCCAGTATTCTGTCATGGTTATTGACATGACTTCGTATTTTCGAAAGGAGCTTCCCCGCGGTATGGCCGTTTGCCGGTACGACGGCCAAGATAACGCTATTCTTGTCGGTTATGTAGTCCTCTATGAGGTGGCGGACTATTCTGTGGGTATCGGTAGATGGATTCGTCCCTCCCAACTGCCAGATACCGGCAGCATCGATAAGAGTAAGATCAGGAACATCTGGTGAGCTGATTTCAATTCGAAGCACCCCATGCGAAAAGTCGGGATTGTCCTGGAGCAAGTGAGTCGTAGCTTCTTCGACAATGCGCGATACATCGTCTATGTTGGGGCTGGTTTCGCTGAATGGGTATGGTGGGTTGGTTGCGCCGCGTATAGGCAACAGACGCACACGAAGCTCCGTCTGTGGATCGGTCCGAAGCGCAAATTCAGTGGCGAAACGCGTGCGTGGTTCCTCTTTAATTGGGAAACGGACTCCTAAGATGGCCTCTAGGACAGATGACTTGCCAGACGATTGCACACCAACAACGACGATCTTGGGGGTACCAACGGAAGGGCTAACACCATACTTCCGCAAGCTACGTATGGCATCAAACAGAGCCTTACGTTCACCATTGAGCTGCTCCATAGCCTCGGGGTCAAGAGAGATTATCGCCATTGTGGAGAGAAAGAGGATTAGATGAAAGGAATGCAGGGCAGTAGAGAACGAAATGGTAGGGAGCGAGGACGTGGGTTTTGGGGCAGGTTCTGTCGGGAGCTATCGAAACTTGGAAAAGAGGGATGTTCAGGATGATGTTTTTGTTGTCTGTACGGAATACCTGCTACATACAGATCCACCCCTTAAGCTGGCGCTTATAGAGGGAACCAAAACCCGTAGACAGGTCAATAGCTGTTATCAGATCTACATAAGCGCCAACAGTTGGACGACCTGGCACATTGCTCGACCGTCCGCCAGTCGCCTATAAATATCACCTGGTAGTTAACCAACCCCCTGTCAATAGTCCCAGTCAGTTGGGTGGCCAAGCAACGCAGTTGGCCCAAATGGTATGTATTCTTAGCCAATCTGTGCCGTAATGATGCTAATTAGGTAAGGTATTGGCTTGTGCCGTGACGAAGCTTCGTAGCATTATACGCCATAATTTACCCGGATACATTCAGAGTCTGCGTGTTCACGATCAACGACGTGGTGACAATACGTTCAAGTAGTCATTAACATTTCATGACATTATGTACCAAACCAAGGTAGTGACCGTTAACAATAACCATCCTGACTTCAAACCAGTATTCGCATCGAGCTGTCAAGTCACCCCGAGCAGCAAGAATCACTCATAACTGCTACTCGCGCATCACCGTCTATAAACCCACGAAAAATGCCCAGCATATATACCTAGGTAAGCATAATAAATCCAGTCACCGGGCCGTTCGACCCGTCAACAACCGCAATGTATTGAAAGGAAGCGACGACTGGTGTTTCAATTCATGGCCCATTGAATGGCGTTTCCAATGGCCGCTGTTCCTCCCTATGGCATTGGCACCCATGGGCCATATTCGCCCATTCCCTCGCTCCGTAACAGATTGAGAGTTCAAAATATAAAAGGGAACCGAATTCTAAAAGTCCAATGTGTATATAAACACAACCCACCGCCGAATACTTCGTACAGTCTTCCCAAAACAAACCACATTCGATCAACTTTCACATCATGTCTTCATCCGATCCAACAGAAGTCAACAAACGGGCCAGCGACACCCACGCCGTCAGAACCAAACCGACAGAGGCCAAGAAAAGCGCCGGCGAGACCCGTGCTACCGGGACCAAGCCACTCTACGAAACCTCGAAGTACAAGGATGCGGAGTATCGCATGGCACGATGTCACTGCGCCTGCTTCAGAAAAGGTCACAGCACCCTAGAGATCCACCTTCGGCCGGCCAAGGACAACTCTGGCAGACTGGTATGCGGAGGCTGCTATGATCGGGCAGGGCAAATGGGCAATTGCGCTTGACGGGACGGGTTGGGAGAAGATCGGTCGGGGGAAGATCGGTCGGGTTTGCATTTTCAGGGGGCACATTCACCGGGCGAGGATTCAGGCCTTGTTCGTTCGTTGTGCGGGCTGCAACTCAGACATCTCTTTCTCTCAGATGATACCCTTTCACATCGACGTTATCGCCACGTCGATTTATAATGCAGCATGAACATTGCAGTTGATTTCCATTCGCATAGCTCGAGTAGTGGACCAATACACTGCGCGTTGATTTCATAGCAACGTCCCAACTAATGTCAGTAATATCCACTGGATATGTGCCGGACGCAAAAGAAACACCGTAGTAATCCTTCAATGCTTTCAAGCAAAAAACGTCAAAAGCAAAATCGATATACGGAACGGTCGGATTAGTAAACTATAAACACCCGCTTTCAATATAGTAATGTACTAGTAGAGACAGAGGGGTTGGGTTATGGACGGGGTTAGCCAGATATACCTAGAGAACAAGTGTGCTTAGCACGGACGACTTCAGACGGGAGGATTCTCGTGAATATCAGCATACGGACTATGAAAGTCCGATTCGTCCATGAGGATTCCGTAGCCGTGGGTTGGCAAAACTCGCACGCAGACGAAGGCAAGACGACGCATGACTTCTTGACTTTAGAGCTAGACTGGGCATTTACCGGAATGGGATGATAGCTTCATCGTGATTGGTCAGGCTCCATAACGTTCTAAACTGGTCAGGGAGGGACCCGGTCAACTGTCGACTTACCTTGACCTCCTTACTATCTAGGGAGAATGTGTGCCCACACTACATTTGTAATGCTGTCACAGATATGCGGTGAATTCGGTATAAGAAGCCCATTCGAGGTTTTGAGCCGATTGGTGGTTTCCGAAATGCCCAGTCTCCTAGCCGAATGGGCCGCGTTATATAGTGTATTCTGGGGCCCATCTCAGAATCCCGGCGGGCATCCAGACCGAGAAGCGAGCGGCCTACTCGCCTTTAAGTTAGTGGGTTAACCTAGAATGGCAGCCGGACCACCAGCCTCCGTCTTCCTTCGGCCGGCGCAGGCAGTCCGCAATGGATGAAGAGGGCGGCGGAGGCGTGACAGCACATCTCAATGAATGCATATATATATCCCGGGGATCGGGGTTTGGTCTCGTGGAATGCAGCTATTTGACTTCATAAGTTCGCTGTATCACTGGCAAGGAATTCTCAACATGCGCTGGGCATCCGGGGTACTGTCCTTGACGGGCTTGCTAAGCGCGTCGAATGCCGCCTCGCTGCAGCAAGTCACTGAAGATTTCGGCCCAAACCCGACGAACGCCGGTTTCTACATCTACGTGCCGGACCAGCTGGCGGAAAACCCTCCGATCTTAGTCAACCCTCACTGGTGTCATGGGGATGCGCAAGTTTGCTATACCGGATCCCAATTCGCGACATTGGCGTCGCAATACGGCTTCATTGTCATTTACCCGAACAGTCCTAACACGGCCGACATGTGCTGGGATGTGTCGTCGAGCGACACCCTGACGCATGACGCCGGCGGAGACAGTCTCGGCATCGTGAGCATGGTGCGCTGGACGCTCGACACGTACAACGGCGATCCGAAGCGTGTGTTCGTCACGGGCATCTCGTCGGGCGCCATGATGACGAGCACGTTAATCGGGGCCTACCCTGACGTCTTCGCTGCCGGCTCCGCGTTTTCCGGCGTGCCATTTGGCTGTTTCTCCGGAGATGGATACGGCGTCTGGAGCAACAACTGTGCGATGGGGAACGTAACCCACACGCCGGAGGAGTGGGCGGCGCTGGTGGAGGCGGCTTATCCCGGATACGACGGATGGCGGCCCAAGATACAGATTTTCCACGGCACGATCGACGAGACGCTCAACTACACGAACTTCGAGGAGGAGATCAAGGAATGGAATGCTGTCTTCGGCTACAGCCAGACGCCAACTAGCTCAACGCCCAACACGCCCGTCAGCAACTGGACGAAATACGTATATGGCCCCAATGACTGGTTTGAAGCGTATAGTGCCGGAGGCGTGACGCATGATATCCAGAACCAGGAGGCGGAAGTCATGTCTTGGTTCGATCTGACTTGTACATCAAGTGACTGCTTCAGCTGGGGAGACGGTGGTGCCTGATTGAAACTGCGAGCATATAGCCTTCATGAACTCTATGGACTGCTAGGCATATAAAACGCTGGCGTTTGGCTTGAGAAAAAAGACCTACTAAGCTGTCCACGGTGATCGGAATTCCGTCAAACGTAGGCCTATCTTGTGCACAGTACAGTATTCCGTACAAGATCAGTGTTTTGTCGAAACGGAAAAGTTGAGAAAATCACCACGGCTAAAAACTCGTCAGGTTGTGGGGTAAGCCCTTAGCTAATGGAGCTGTATGTTGATGCTCTCTTGCTGGTGGTGAGGGAGTACCGAAGCTAAGTTGAAAAGACAATAGGTACCTACCTAGCTAGATAGAGTGATTTGAGCCCGCTTGCTTATCGTGAATAATGATACGTAGGTAGTTGAAAGGTTTCGCGGGAGCCTATAGTGTACCGATCTCAATAACAATTTTCCGATGAGCATGGTCCGCCATGACATTGACATGGATATCATCCGAAAATATCAAGTCGAGACCAAAAAGTGACCTCGCTGGGGCTCGAACCCAGAATCTCCTGATTAACTTCAGGAATCAATCAAGGCGATCGATTACTCGTAGTCAGACGCCTTACCATTGGGCCACGAAGCCGGTCAAGTTGCTGGTTCGGGGCCTTAGCCGTCGATAGGTTGGAAAGTTTCTCGACGAGTGGGATTCAGCTAACCTTAGACAGGCCTAGGGTATTCCCGTTGGACGAAGCCTCGCCTCTCATGGAACAGTTGTGTGCGTATCGCTCTTCATTCCCGATAACTTCAAGACGACGAAATTACATGCCTACGGCATGGCAGAAAATATGGACGTCTCAGATTGCGATAAAGTAGAAGCCGACAGCGGTACCATTCTGTGCAGCGGGTTTGCGTGTAAAGATCACCAAATTATAGCGGGGAATCCCTCCGTATGGATCCGGAATTCCGGACACAGTTGTTGCTTGCGGGCCCGAATTTTGAACATCGCGAGGTTTGCACAAAGGAGCATTTTTGGCGCAGCGAACCTAGATAAAAGGTACCCAATGAATGCCGATAGTGAAGGTGGTGGACGTAGAATCCCACTGCATTCCCATTATTTCGTCTTGCGCGTCTCGCCAGCGCTCCCTTGAATGAGAAGCGCGAAACCCGTAATGATCGCGCCAGCACCCTCCCAGACCGCCGGCACAGTCCAGCCCTGTGCATAGAAAACCGAGGTGGTGAGCAGTCGCATGGGAACAGTCGCGGCAAAGAATGGCCGGTTTTCTTGATATGCCGCCAGCGTGTAGTATAGGCCCATGGCGATGCTGGCGAGCGCATTGCCGCGCGCTACGGGCGTGCAGGAGAGTGGGAAGTCGAGCATCAAGGCTGATGAGGACGGGTCAGCCAGCGATGAGATGCCCGCTAGCAGTGCAGTGACGCCGAAGGCGTAGATCGTGAAAGCTGCTGCGGATGGCATCCTTTTAGTTTGGATCTACTGGACTGTGACTTGCTAGGTAGTGTTAGGTTACGGCCCTGCTGGCGTAGGTATATGGGCGTGCGAGGATGAGTGAGTGACTGAATGAATGAGTGAGGAGAGTGTGAGTGGGCGAGTAAGTGAGTGTGCAAGCGGGAATCTAGTGAATGGGTATTCGCTGACAATTGAACTTGCTGTGTTGACAAGACGCGGAACTTTACGATGCATCAAAATGATAATAATACGTTTGGAGAAACCGAGATGGGCGTGTCGCTGGGGTTTTATTGGCAGTGCGGAGTGGCTAGCTGGACGAGAAGCGTGGTGTCCTTATGAGATGTGACAATAACGCGACATGGGCACGATGGCCGGAATTACGGAGTCTATTTAGTAGAGGCAACATTCACGGCCACCCCACCTGCTCAAAGACGCTGATAGGGGATTTATAGGTGAGTTAGGCCCCTGAGCGGCCGACGCAACCGTCAGCCGAACAGGAATAGGTATTGCTCCATATTATAGGCCTAGGTACTTCGTACCTATAGATGGTAGAATCCCACATCCCCAATGTACCATTCGCATGGGTAACAGGAATTTGACTTTACCCAACTCACACGACACTGGAAGCCAGACCTACCTATCTTCTCAACATTGAACCTGGAATGAAGTCTTACCCACGCTGCTAACATATCCACTTTCGTTTCCAGTTATCTACGCCATCAGGTATTCAATTCACCCTACGAAAAATACCACCAAACCAACACGTAATACCAACCCATTTCCCACTCCTAAGCCCAAGCGTCTCAATCATATCCTCATCCACAGCCCGTTCCAGAATACCCCCATCACCCTCAACCTCAAGCCCATGTCTCCGCGCCTCAACCTCCACATCTTCAACCGTATGCGCGTAGCTAGTCGGCCTGATCTTCACGCCCGTGGCCACATCCACGAACCCAGCCTGTGAGATCCCGCCCATGTGAGAATGCATATTGGTAAGCAGAAGCACGCCGCCGGGCCGGAGAAGCTGCGCCACGTGCGCGAAGAACGTGGACAGCGGGACATGCTCCACGACCAGCGTGCTGATCACGGCGTCCACCGTATGCGCCACCACGGAATCCGGCGGCGCAGAAGTAGCCAGCATGTCGAAGACGCCGAGGCGGAGCGTGGTCCGCTTCCGCGATAATTCGCCCTGCGCTTCCGCAGCTTGCAGTCGGGCCCTCGCCACTCTCAACATGCCGCCGCTCGCGTCCAGCGCGATGATCTCCGCGTCCGGGATCCCGAGTAGAAGGGCCGTGTTACGGCCCGTGCCGCAGCCCAGGTCCACGATCCGCCACGGCTTCGGCGACGTGATGGTGCCCAGAAAGTGCGGGAATAAAGTTTTGAGCTCCAGGTCGTCTAGCGCCTGCAGGAAGTTGCCGTCGCCGTCGTAGACGTCTGCCCATTTGTCGTAGGCTTCGTTTGTGGGAAGATAGCGGATGGAAGTGAAGGGCGGGTCTGCGGTTGTGGGTGTTTCGGCCATTGCACATAGTAGCTCTATGTAAAGCGGCGAGATAGTTACTGGCCTCGGCGTTGTAAACCAAGGAAGAAATGATAAAAACGCTGTGAGATGAGGGCTTGAGGGTATATCATAAGTATCATGGCGCCCGGTTGCTTGGCGCATTGTAACGCTGATCTTAATGAGTCACTGGCCAACCTGGCTTGTCCAAGAGCGGTGTGGTTTTCTCACCATGCCTTCCGAAGTGATCCTCGCACGAATAGACAGCAAGTTCTCATTTTCGATAAAGCAAGGGCTCGTTTTGTGCCCTCAATAACGATGGTGCCTCAAATCGCCCAATAAATGCAGGATATGACATGAGTATGACGCGATTCAACGCATTTGTACGATTCAGTCTCTTATATCCTATTCGATGCCGTCGATGCTAGGAAGCAAAGCGGTGCGATGATAACTTGTAAGAGATGGTCTGAGGTTGAGGATAAGAACAGAGTATGTATCATGCCTATACCAGCGACATGATCCGTCCAAATGAGACAGCGTTCTCGCTACACTCTACAGGTCCCTCTATGAGATGCCACCGCAAGAAGCCAGACCAGACTGCGAAATTCACAGGCACTGCTGATACGAGAATTACGAGTGACCCATACAGACAGACAACAGATCCCAAATAAAATATCGAGCAGATGATACCCAATTGTTAGGACGAGATGTATTCCAATCACAAAAACCCGGTAAACAAGATACCAGAACCTGGGAGTCCAACCTAATAGCCAAAAGGGCATCCAAACAACTATTTCCTCCCCTCCAGACCCCGGAGCGTATCCCAAGGTCAAGATAAAGTAATCCCAAGAAAAATAATCTATTCAATACTAACACCCAGGACCAACAGCTCACGCCGTAAATTAGCAGCCCGAGCAGCCAGGATATTAATATCCGAAAGCGGCATGTTAAGCAACTTCTTAACAACGATCTCCGCAGCATCAGCCGGAGTGTCAGCCAGGTCCGCCCAGCGGTCCGGACTCACCGCGGCGAGAGAGTCGAAATCGCTGACGTCAATCCCGGCCGCCTCGGCCCTGACCATGAAATTCAGCGTGCGCCCGACGTTGCCAAGGTACCTGGTGAGAAAGTAGTCGGTCATTCCTCCCCGTCGGTACACGATGCCCGGTCCCTCGCCGTTCGGCTGGGCTGGCATGGAATGTGCGCCTGGAAGACGGTCGAGCGTGGAATCCGATTCCTCGGGCTCCGCGAGATCCTCTGAGGGAAGGCGCATCGAGCGCTCCGAAGAGGACGAGGACGAAGAAGACGGAGACGGCGATGAGGCGAGATCTATCCGGGAGGAGCGGAGCGGAGATGGCAGAGCGGGAACAGAGGGGGTCAAACGAGAAAGCGGACGCGTGCGTCCCGGGGACCGGAGCCAAGCCGCCGGGCCGGCGCGCGTGATGTCCACGGGGCTCACGCTGTCGTACTCGGCGTCGCCTTCGGTGTTTATGTAGAAAGGCGGGTATCTCCGGGCTGGGGCTTGCGTGTCGGTGATTGGTGTTTGTTCCTCCTCCTCGTCCGTAAAGTCGCCTTCCCGCTGCTCAGCAATCCGTCTCTCCGCGCGCAGCTCCTGGGGTGACCTATCATCAGGCGATGCCGGTATAGACGGTCTATTCTCGTCTCGCTCGTCATCGCTGCGTGTACTATCACCGTCTACCGTCTCAGCTTGTGGTGAACGGTAGACGCTTGTTCGGATTTCATTACTCCGGGTGAATTCGTTCGGTATGTTACTGTCGACCTCGGGCGAGTAGTTCTCGGTCATCTCCGACGAGTCGCCTCTGCTTGCTGGTCTAGCAAGGTCAAGACGTGGACGCTTTGCATGTTCCGATATGGCCACCTGGCGCGGATGAGCCCGTTTTGGTACCATGATTGCCGCTTCAATCTCTACCACGTTTTTAATGTAAGTTGGCCTGATATCGTGTGCCTTATAAGTCTAATCATAGTATGAAATTCATTCGTCGGCACCATGGCTTTACTCACCAGGCAGCACTCTCTTTGCAGTCGAGACTGAGGAATATATTATTGATATGGACCCTGCTTGCTTCCGGAACTCAGTGTTGTCTCAGGTACTCTGGTATTGGTATAGACGCCTTTGTGTGAACCGCTTTCAACCGAATATGGAATGTCACCGAAGTCCCTTTGTGTAGCATTCCATCCAGCCACTGCTTCTGCGTTTGACCAGGCACAAAGAACGGCAAATGGGGTGGAACGTGACACCGCACAGCATAGGATGCTCAGCATTTCAAATTTGTAGACAAGGGATGTTCATCTGCATTCACGATTGGCTTCGGACGGGGGCTGTTTCAGAATTCATCGGCAGATTGTCTATCGTAATATTAAGACGAAAGCGGCCTATCTCACACCAGAAGTCTGAGCGGACAAATGTTGCCTTAACCCTTGGCGGCACCAGCCTTAATCAATAGGATGTCGCCGTCCTCAACGACATACTCTTTTCCTTTTGTCATGACCTTACCCTTGGCTTTCACTTCGGACTCATCGCCAAGCTCCTTCAACGCCTCGTAGTTGTATACGACGGCTTGGATGAACGTCTTCTCAAAGTCCGTGTGGATAACACCAGCAGCCTGAGGTGCTTTAGTGCCTTCTCTGATGGTCCATTGTCGGACCTCATCGACACCGACGGTGA